TTTCCTTCACCCCTTCTTGGTTCACTTCTTGCACCTTCTCTTTTTCCGACACCCTTTCAACTTTAACAACCCCTTGCTCTTCTGCTTCAACTTCTTGTTCGGCTTCTTCCCCAACAACCTCTTGCTCAATGTCACCTTGTAAAACCTTCCCACTTCTAGTAGTTATTTCCATGACGTGAGAAGTTGAGCCACTTCCACCACTCTTCGGGTTCGCAATGGTATCACTAGGAAGTTGCCCTTTTTGCTTTGGGTTTTGCTCTCTTCTAAGGTCACTCATTTGCATCTGTAACTTTTGGATAGATGCAGTGTGAGAGCCAACAACTTCAGTCATGTTTCTCATGGACGCGTCAGACTTTTCTTGGTTTTGCAATACTCTTTCAATCATGCTTTTTAACTTTGACTCACTTGACGACCCTTGATTTGCATAATGACCTTTTGGGGGAACATACGGGTTGGAGCTCTGATTTGCAAAGTTGTTGTTGTTCTAATTTCCTTAATGCGAGTTACCTTGATCATTTCTCCATTGTTGGTTGCCTTGCCCTTGCGGGTTTGGTCTCCACTGGCTTTGTTGCCCTTGACCATGGTAGGGTTGCCTTTGATACCCTCCTTGAGGGTTGTTGATAAAATTTGTTTCCTCAAAATTTTCATCTAAGATGGGTTGGACATCTTCCACTGCATTCACTTTCTTTGTCTGATTCTCGGTAAACATCTTTGTCAGCACATTTACATTTGTTGCAAGCCCGACAATCACTTGATCCCTCTCTTGATTTTCCTTGATTAAGTTGCTCAAGGAAGGAGAGCCATATGAGATTCCTCCGGTAGTATCCTCTGAATGCCATGCTTGGTTGTGCTTTGCCATTTTGTCCAGGATTTGTGTCACTCTTGCAAATGATTTGTCCATGAAAGATCCGTCAGCTGCATTCTTGGCGATGGCTTGGTTCATGGGATCCAAACCCATATAAAATTTTTCCAACAACATGGAATTCGGAAAACCATGGTTTGGAGACCTCACCAAGTATAATTTGAAGCGATCCCATGACTTATGCAATTGCTCTCCCTGAATCTGCTTGAAGAAGAAAATCTTATCCCGCAACTTAGACTTTTTGCTCTGCGGGAACCACTTGGACAAAAACGCCCGGACAAGTTCGGGCCAAGAATGGATAGAGTTGGGTGGCAGATTCTGGAGCCATTTCCTCGCATCCCCAGCTGGAGATTACTTGAAGCATCTCAACCTCAGGGAATCGTCAGAGACATTGTTTTGTTTGTGCGTTGCACACACACCCAAGAAATTCCTAAGGTGTTGTGTTGGATCATCATCTGTGGAGTTTCTAAAAAATCCTTCTGCCTTGAGCATCAGAATTAGACCGTGTTCCACTTTAAATGTTGCAGCTCCAATAGCTAGGGATACAATGGCATTAGTATCCTCAATGTACTCCTCGATGTCTGCGAAAGGATTCTCTCCCATTTCTGTCTCCGCATCATCACCATATTCAGACATGTTTTCCTATCAACACCAAGCAAAGCAATCAAAGTGTGATGGAATAGAAATAGACGTTAAGTAAAGTACACTTTATATAGTAATTTCAAAACCGTATTCCCCGGCAATGGCACCAAAATTTGATACGCTCAAATTACACTTTAATAAATAGTGTAAGGCGGTCGGTGTCAAATATAATAACCCAACAATGTTGGGGTCGAATCCCACAGGGAATAGGTGTGAAAAGGTTACTCTTATAGTGTATTGCTCGACTAAAGTCGTATCTCTATTCGGTTAACAGTAACAAGAGAATGGTTTATAGTAACAAGAGTATGAATTGAGTTTGTTTGGAAGTATCAACTAATTGGAATATTTATAGAGTAATTAATTGGATTAAAGCAACCAAGGTTGTGTCCCCTTTAATGGAATGTAATGCTTATCGGTGTTAATATGATATATTTCTAATGGAAGGTTCTTTTGATATGCAAATGATGTCTAAGTGACTACCCAATATTTCCCAATAGTTGAGTAGTATTTCCTCTTTATAATTTTCCCAAATATAAAAGAGTTGCAATTTAGAACCATCAATATATGCCAAGTAAAACCCACTTATTCCTAAGCGATTCTATTAAACAAGGTTTAAAGCCTTGAGTCATTGATATTTACTTCTACCAAATTCTAACCCACTTTCCCAAGCAAAGCAAGAATTTAATGGCACTTGTTAATGTTTGCAACCACCAACAATAAATGAAGAATAAGAAGTAAACAAATATCAACCAACCATTATATATATATTCAATGTTAAACACCCATTAGCATAACACCCATTTAGGGTCCACAACCTTAGTATTTAAAGTTAGCTACTCATACTACAATACAAAAACCAAAGAGTATTTAATGTCATAAAAGCTTACAAAGTAGAGAATCTTCACCCAAAAGCTTCCAAAAGTGAGGAATATTAATGTCTTGGAATGTGGTTCAAAGACTAGACAAGATGAGCCCACAAAGACATCATAAAACTATTTATAGTGGACTCAAAATCGGGACAGAAAACGGACAAAAATGCCCTTTCAGGTCTGATATGCGATCGCATTCTTGTCGCAGAGCATGTATGCGGTCCGCAACTTGAACATCCTCATCGCAGACTGGAGCCCTAGTTTACAGGCCTTCTTCATATTCCAATTATGCGAATCGCATTGCAGAAATGCGATCGCATTTTGCATCGCATCTTCATCCTTCAGTGACCTTCATGGTTGGTTTGCGGTTCACTTTGCGGCTCGCATGTTGGTTCTGCGGTCGCATAATGGACCGCATTCTTGACTTGAGATTTAACCCAGATCTCTACTTTTGACGTGCGATTTAACGTGCATTCTGCGGCTCGCATGTCTGATCTACGATCGCATAGTGTATCGCAGACCAACATTTTTGCTACATTTTGCTCTTTTCTTGTCTTTTTGCTTCAATTTCCATGTTCTTGGGTTCTCAGTTCTTATGTACTGTAGAAACAACAAAACTACATAAGTAACAGAGATAATTGCATTAAAACAAGTTAAAATCTAAGCAATTAGTATTGAAATGTGCCGAAATTCTCCGGCACATCAGCTCCTCCTCATAAGACAAGTCCTTGTCCAATTGGACATTGCTGAAATATAACACGTGGGAGGGATCGTCGTGATACTTCCGAAGCATGGACACATGAAACACTGGATGCACGGCTGATAAGCTTGGCGGCAACGCAAGTCTATAAGCCACCTCTACCACTCGATAAAGAATCTCAAACGGGTCAATGAACCTAGGGCTAAGCTTGCCCTTCTTCCCAAATCTCATCATGCCCTTCATAGGTGACACTCGAAGCAATACCCGCTCACCGACCATGAATGCCAAATCTCGAACCTTACGGTCAGCATAACTCTTTTGCCTGGACTGAGCTGTACGAAGCCTATCATTAATAATCCTAACCTTGTCTAAGGCATCCTGAACCAGATCCGTACCCAACAACCAAGCCTCTCCTGGCTCAAACAATCCAACCGGAGACCGATACCGCCTACCATATAAGGCCTCATAAGGATCCATTTGGATACTCGACTGGTAGCTATTGTTGTAGCAAACTCTGCTAAAGGAAAAAACTGATCCCACGAGCCTTCAAAGCCAATGACACAAGCTCGGAGCATATCCTCCAAAATTTGAATGGTCCGCTGGGACTGCCCGTCCGTCTGAGGATTAAACATTGTGCTCAACTCAATTGGCGTGCCCAACTCTCGCTGAACTGCTCTCCAGAAATGGGAGGTAAACTGCGTACCTCGATCCGAGATGATAGACTCGAGCACACCATGAAGACGAACAATCACCCGGATATAGATCTCAGCTAACCTCTCGGAAGAATAGGAGACTGCCACAGGAATGAAATGCGCTGACTTGGTCAGCCTATCAATAATAACCCACACTGCATCGAACTTCCTCTGAGTCCGTGGGAGTCCAACAATGAACTCCATAGTGATCCTCTCCCACTTCCACTCAGGAATCTCAATCTTCTGGAACAAACCACCAGGCCTCTAATGCTCATACTTGACCTGCTGAAAATTCAAACACCGAGCCACATATGCAACGATGTCCTTCTTCATTCCTCTCCTCCAATAATGATGCCGTAAATCCTAATACATCTTAGCGGCGCTCGAATTAATAGAGTACCTGGAACTATGGGCCTCATCTAAAATCAACTCTTGGAGCCCATCCACATTAGGCACACAAAATCGACCCTGCAATCTCAAGACTCCATCATCACCTAAGGTAACCTGCTTGGCACCTCCATGTTGCACTGTGTCTCTAAGGACACACAAATGGGGATCATCATACTGCCGATCACGGATACGATCTAATAAAGAAGAACGAGCGATCGTGCAAGCTAACACACGACTGGGCTCTAAAACATCCAACCTCACGAACTGATTGGCCAAAGCCTAAACATCCAAAGCAAGCAGTCTCTTATCGACCAGAATATAAGCAAGACTACCCGTACTGGCTGACTTCCTACTCAAAGCATCGGCCACCACATTGGCCTTTCCCGGATGATATAAGATGGTGATATCATAATCTTTCAACAACTCCAACCACCTCCTCTGCCTCAAATTCAACTCCTTTTTCTTGATGAAATACTGAAGACTCTTGTGATCCGTGAACACCTCACATGCCATGCCATACATATAATTCCTCCAAATCTTCAACGCATGAACAATGGCTGCCAACTCCAAATCATGAACATGATAGTTCTTCTCATGAATCTTCAACTGCCGTGAAGCATAGGCAATGACCTTGCCATCCTACATCAACACTGCACCGAGTCCAATACGACATGCATCACAATAAACTGTATAAGGCCCTGAACCTGTGGGCAAAACCAACACAGGTGCCGTAGTCAGAGCTGTCTTGAGCTTCTAAAAGCTCGCCTCACACTCATTCGACCATCTAAACTAGGCACCCTTCTGGGTCAACCTGTTCATCGGGGCTTGCGATAGATGAAAACCCCTCCATGAACCGACGATAGTAGCCTGCAAATCCCAAGAAAGTCCAAATCTCTGTAGCTGATGCTGGTCTAGGCCAGTTCTTGACTGCCTCAATCTTCTTCGGATCAACCTGAATACCCTCCGTGTATACAATATGACCTAGGAATGCAACTAAACTCAACCAGAACTCACACTTCGAGAACATAGCATATAACTGACTATTCCTTAAAGTCTGAAGAACCACTCTAAGATGCTGCTCGTGCTCCTCCCGGCTACGGGAATATATCAAAATATTATCAATGAAGACTATCACGAACGAATCCAAATAAGACCTGAACACTCGGTTCATCAAATCCATAAAAGTTGCGGGGGCATTTGTCAACATGAATAACATAACCAAGAACTGATAATGCCCGTAGTGAGTGCAGAAAGCTATCTTTGGGACATCGGATGCCCTAATCCTCAACTGATGGTAGCCAGATCTCAAGTCAATCTTCGAAAATGCCTTAGCACCCTGACATTGATCAAACAAATCATCAATCCTCTGCAATGGATACTTATTCTTGATTGTAACTTTGTTCAACTGCTGGTAATCAATACACATTCTCATCGATCCGTCCTTCTTCTTAACAAACAACACTGGCGCACCCCAAGGTGAAACACTCAGCCTAATGAAACCATTCTCAAGAAAGTCTTGCAACTGCTCCTTCAACTCTTTCAACTCAGGCGTGGCCATACAATACGACGGGATAGAAATGGGCTGAGTGCCAGGAGTCAAATCAATACAAAAGTCAATATCCCTGTCGGGTGGCATACCTGGCAGGTCTGAAGGGAAAACCTCAGGAAACTCACAAACAACGGGCACAGAATCAATAGAAGGAACCTCAGCACTAGAATCACGAACATATGCCAAATTGGCCAAACACCCCTTCTCGACCATATGCCAAGCCTTCACATAAGAGATAACACTAAAATTAGAATGACCAGGAGTCCCTCTCCACTCTAAATGAGGCAAACCCGGTAAAGCTAAGGTCACAGTCTTGGCATGACATTCCAAGATAGTATGGTAAGGTGATAACCAGTCCATTCCCAATATAACATCGAAATCAACCATGTCCAGAAGCAACAAATCTACACGAGTCTCAAGACCCCCAATCACAACTATTCATGAACGATGGACTCAATCTACCACAATAGAATCACCCACCGGCATAGACACATAAACATGATCACTCAAAGAATCACTAGGCATAACCAGATATGGTGTAAAATAAAAGGAAACATACGAGTACGTAGACCCTGGATCAAATAACACTGAAGCATCTCTATCACAAACCAGAACTGTACCTGTAATAACTACATTGGAAGCCTCAGCCTTGGTCCTGGCTGGAAGAGCATAACATCGGGGCTGGGCCCCACCACCCTGAACTACATCTCTAGGACGGCCTGCGGCTGGCTGGCCTCCACTTCTAGTGGTCTGAGCTCTACCTCTAGCACCTCTACCCGAACCTCTAGCTGGTT